ATAGATAGATAGATAGATAGATAGATAGATAGATAGATAGATAGATAAAAAAGACACCGGAAATAATAAAAAAAAAAGAAGCAGAATACACAAATTTGAAAAAGACAGTATGCACATGCACTAGGTGGTAGGGAGTACTACATATATATTCAATTCAATTCAAAAATACTTTATCCCAGAGGGAAATTAAATGTTGTTGTAACTCTTCATCCTGGTTTCATTTAATAGTTGTTCTAGATGCTGATGGAAGGATCTCTTGTAGAGGTCTGTCTTACAGCAGATCTGAAGAAGCCTCTGACTGAAAGACACTCTGGTGTTGTATGACAGTCTGATGAAGAGGATGCTGACGGTTGTCTTTAATGTTCTTCATTTTATGAAGAAACCCTCTTTGTACAATCATCTCCAAAGGAACTGAGCCAGCCTTTTTTATGAGCTTGTTGAGCTTTTTTAAGTCACTTGCTCTGGTGCTGCTACCCCAGCAGATGATGGCAGAAGAGATAATGCTCTCTACAACAGACTTATAGATGATATGCAGCATATTGCTGCAAACACTGAAGGACTTCAGCTTCACCAAGAAGCAGTCTTCTCTACCACCCCCACTTCTTCTCCCATGATGGAAATAGTGTTGGACTTGCTCCTGTTTCTCCTGATATCTACAATAATCTTCTTAGTTTTATTCACATTCAAGATGAGATGATTGTTTCCACACCATGCCACAAAGCGGTTCACTAGTCCCCTGCATATGTACATGTAAATATACATACATACACATACATAAGTGTCCGGGGTGCCACATATTCACAAGGCTTTCTTTTTACTGTATGGGGATTGTTGAACAGTCTGATGGCCTGAGGGACAAGACTTCCTGAATCTGTCCATGGAGCAGGCTGGGACAGCAGTCTACCACTGAAGGAGCTCCTCTGCTTCATGATGGTGCCATGCAGAGGATGGTCAACATTGTCCATGATGGATAGCAGCTTACTGAGGGCCCTTTTCTCTGCCACCGATGTATGGGACTCCAGCTCGGAGTCTTGGACCTTCTGAAGTCCACTACCACGTTGGCTAAACCTCAGTCATTTTACATAAACATAATGGTTTTGGTACTAGCTGAGAGTCATCCCCACATATTCAGAGCAATAACAGGTTGCACGAGATCTTGCAACGTCGCATGAGATTGGGATAACATTATTTTCAAAGTTTCAACAAAGCAACCATATCTCTCATTTTTTCACATATAAAAATGACAGTTTTTATCCTAATGGCATAGCATCCTAAACAGATAAAAAGCTGAAACTCCAAGATGAACGGACAGGAGGAGGAAATTGGCATCTGTGTTCTGTACCTGTTGAGAAGACGACGTTCTTGGAGATGAGCTTGTAGTCGACGATAGAGAACTGTGGAAGCTCTATTCTGTCGACCCCGGACACAGCGCCGTCCCCACCTCTCCAGTAAAACTCGATGTCATCAGTGGTGTATCCATCTGCAGCAGAGACAGCCAGAAGACTCAAAGAAACCTTATCCTTATTCAATATTGAACTGTAACACATTGTGGCATACAGCAGACACATTAAATGGAAGCGGTTTTGTTTTCTGTTGCCCCGATCAATATAAAAGTACTCACTACTTTTGAGAAGGCTCAGGGAACACAGCTGAGCAAGACGTTTGAACTCAAAACTAAAGCCTTTATCCAACATTTTTCAGTCAGGTCATCTGGACAGTTTCTTTTTTTGTGTTGAAATGTTTCACCTTCCATCCAGAAGGCTTCATCAGTCAAGGAAACACACAAAACAAAACTGGTTCTTTCCCCAACAGCTTACTCCAAAGTGGAACAAACCAATTATGTTGGTGCTAAGATGGTCTCTTTGGCATGCCCCCTTCTCCAGTGCCAGCCCTCTTCCTCGTTGAAAGGCATGTCAAACTAGTTCAAAACCAACAAAATCCATCCATGCTCAATAATCCAGGTATACAATGCACCATTTTTCAGTCAGGTCATCAGTCAGTATCTTTTTTTGTGTTGAAAAAAGCCTTTATGTTTCTCGGGATAAATGTGTGGCATTTCATCTTTCTAAAACTTTTCAGCCACTTTCTGCATAAAGTGCCTACAGTCCAGAAGAAATGTTATTTTTTTAAAGAGGTGTTGCAAACCACTGCTAGTGCAAACTTCATATTAATGTTTTAATATTATAAAGTGCGATGATGCCTAACAAGCTGGGGAATTTCGAGCTGACGGGAAGTGCTTGCTGGAATCTTAAAGCAGTAGTTCAGATCATTTGAAGTGGGATTCTGTGGAAACGTGAACAAAGAATTTCTTACTTGGTGCTGATACCAATTTGAACAATTTCAATTTGGAGAATCAGACTCAAATTCTGACTAGATTGTTAATGATGAGAGGCTAGTCTGAGCCAAAGTGGATTGCTGTTGTCTCAAATTAAAATAAATAAATGTAAACAATATTTTATTAACCTTTATATCATTATCAACTTTGAAAAACATGGTTACCGAGACAGAAACATTATGATAGTCCAGCCTGGAAATGATCCATGATGTTCTGTAAGTGCTACATAGCTACATGTAGCTACACGTGGCTAACAGTTAAATAATTAAACTTAAGGACTTTTTTTGATACAAATGTAATTGCTGCTGGGGTGGCACGGTGGCATAGCTGGAAGAGCTGCTGCTTCTCAGCAAGAAGGTCAGTGGATCAAATCCCGGCCCGAGGCCTATTCTGGGAAGAGTTTGTATGTTCTTTCCGTGCATGCATGGGTTTTCTACAGGTACACCAGTTTCCTCCCACAGACCAAAAACATGCATGTTCGGCTGATTGGTAACTCTAAATTGTCCCTAGGTGTGAGTGAGAGAGTGAATGGTTGTTTGTCTCGTTTGTCTCTATGTGTCCTTGTGATGGACTGGAGACCTGTCCAGGGTGTCCCCCATCTCTCACACAGTGACTGCTGAATATGGGCACGAGTGACCCCCGCGACTCAGAAAGGCAGAAGCGGGTAAAGATAATGGATGGATGGATGGATGGATGTTATTTGCTGCTGTATGTTAAGGCGCTGACATTCAGTGTAAATTTAGTCACAGCACTCATGTTGAATTGATGTTGGCTGGACAGGCGACCTTCTTCACCCACAGGTGTTTTTTCACAGCAGGCATTGATTTGTCAGAGCAGGAGACGCACAGATGTTGCAGGAGCATCCACACACAGCACCACAGTTATTTATATCCATTATATTTTTGGCGAGTGGAGACAGTTCTTCTCATCCTCAGCATTTCAATGCATTGTTGACATCGTGCTGATCTGCACACGACAAATGAACCAAACCTGAACCTTGGAACATTCACACCATAGTGATCCTGTTTTTCTTTATTCTTTGTGTTTCATTTATACCGTTTGAACATGTAACTACTTCTGCACATTCGATGCTTTGAAAGGATTAAAATGTCAACAAATCTTTCAGCCTTTTTTTTTTTTTTTTGCTTTTGTAATTTTCATACTTTTAAGTTTGTTTAACATTTAGGGGAAACACATCCCCCCAAAAAATCATTAAAATCTTTCAAAAACTGTGTTCTTTTGAAATCTTCAACATGTGTTTTTGTCTTCTTACGCTACTTTTAACTAGCATTTTGACATTTTTAGCTACTTTTAGCTAGTATTGTGCTACTTTTGGTGAGCATTTTGCAAATTTCACCTATTAGTAAGTGTTTGATACTTTCAGAAAGCAATTTTTTTAGATAATGTTATACTAATTTTAGATGACAATTTACTGTCTTTAACTTTTAGCTAGTATTTTGCTACTTTTAACTTGTATTTTTCTACTTCTTTTCAGCATTTTGCTGCTTTTACTCTTTAGCTAGCATTTTGCTGCCTCTATTTAGACTTTTGCTCTTTTTAAATAGTGTTTTACTTCTTTTAGTTTTAAGCTATTGTTCTGATTCTTAGCTCTAACAACTCAATTTAGCTTTATTGTTTAGCACTAAGCAAAATGCCTGCAGTAATGTAAAAATAGTCAATACAGTGAGACACATACATGGTTTTTGTTCAACAAAGAAGAAGTCGCTCCTCCCAGCAGCTGGGTCCTGCAGCTTGTGGACAGCATTACTCCAACAGAAGTAAATTATGCATCTACTGAGGTTTGCATTTGGCACTCTGTGTTCACAGCAGTCGGACGCTGTACGTGGGATAGACTCAGAACAAACCACAGTGCGTGAGCTTGCTGGTGAGTTATTAATCCTTTTCAGGGAACAAAAACATATTAGTTTATTTGCAATAAAAGTATAACTTGTTGTTTTACTTTTCTGTTTTGTTAAGAAGTAGCAGTATTATAGTTATACCTATTCACAGGCTGAATTAAAAAAAACAAAAAAACTCAGTGAAATCTGTGAATCTGCAGAAACAGTAAGCGCTCCCTCCTGCCTCGTGAAAGTCGGCATTTCTCCCCAATTAGTGCATCACGCTGCTGTTTTGATGTCAGCCATTACAGAGCAGGATAAGAAGCCGAGGCGAGAATAACTTTTTGGTAGGACTCTTGTACAGTTCATAGCTTGCACAAAAATTGCTAGAAAGTTATTTTTATCATTATTATTTCCCACAACCAAAGGTGATAGTGTTTTCAAGAAGGCTGCCACAGCAAAGTAACAATAAAAAACACACAAATGGCTATAACTCAGACAGTTTACAGATATTGAGCTACAATCTGGTGTGGTAGTAGTTGAGAGTGATCCCCAGCACATATTCTGAGCAATAACAGGTTGCACGAGATCTTGCAGTATTGCACAAGAAACATAGCTCATGATGTCATTTAGAAGGTTTGACCCAAACGGCTATAACTCTGATATTTTTCATCATAAAACAATTTTATTGTGATAGTCTGGCGTGAAAGGTGGCGGGCGATGTGCGTTCCTTTAATGAAAGTTAGGCCTTAAATTACATCCCCACGCTCTGCTGTATGACATGTGAGCAAAGAAGCACATACATGTGTCAGAATGTATTTGCATGCGTGAAATGGATGTTTAGTAAGAGAGAGGAGGAAATTAATTATTGCTCAAGCTCAGCATGTGAGACCAGAGGCCTGAGCTGCTGCAGCAAGCTGCTGATGTATCCGGGGAGCTTAATTTTAAGATGTGTGTCTGTTAAAAATGCATCAAGTTTATCAAGGGAAGTGAGAGTTCTCTGGGCTCATTAGTCTGAATAAAATAGCACGCTCAGCCATGAAGTGGTTCCAACATTAAAACCAGTGCCAGTTAATCCATATGAGAGCAGATCCTGCCTGGTGATCAAAACTAGAGTTGTGTGTGTTGGTGTGTGTTTTGTAAGGCAGCCTGAGAGAGGATGGGTGGGGGGACAGCAAATGAGTGATGAGGAGTGAGATAAAAAGGCTGGGAGGGGAGAAAAAGGGGATAAGTCTTTGCGAAGAAAAGGAGATGAGAACCGGAAAGAGAGATGGAGAGCATAATGGGAGAGGAGCAATGAGGGGCGGTTCTGACCCGTTCTGTTTTTTTGTGCTGCTTGGTGCTGCTGGCAATAATGTGATCAAACCCGGAAAGATTGAGCCCTACACCACATCCCAGCCCTATAATCCCTCTCTCCGGGGACCCAGATAAAACACGACCTCCGTCATTCTCCCCCATGTTCTCCTTGCACTTCCTCCACTCGAGAGCGCCAGATCACGCACACTTACAAACTCCACGTGAAATCAGCTCTTTGTGCCCTACAAACACGAGGAGGCAGTTTTGGGAGGAGAGCGGTACATAACGTTGACTATCAGCACATCCCTGAAACACCGGACCTAATCAGGCTCCTCTGCGCCTTGGGAAGCCACTGCAGTTGGAGTTGAATTAATTAGGCTGGCTGTTATCAGTCACTGAGCCATTAGTGATGTTCTTCTCCTCGATGCATATCTCATCAGCCTTTCTCAGCATTTAGCATCCAGGTTTTATCAACCTACGGACTGCTTCGGTGCCACTGGGACGGCAGAGCTGCATGTGTATATGTGGGATCTGTCCAACTCATGTGGGTGTGAGAGATGGTTGTCATGGGCAACGGTACTTACAGCTTTCTATCTCCAACGTGCAGTTTTGCTCATCTAGAGGGTAGCGGCGCAGGTCCATCATGCAGGCTGCAGTTGTGGTGATCCTATGAACAAAAAGGGAAAATTGTAAAAAAAATAAATGTATTTATATTAAGGATTCATCAGAGAACTGATTCACACAGATAAATATTATCAGTAACAAGTGACAAAATTAACATACAATGATATTATGCAATTTGTTTACATACAATGATATTATGCAATTCGTTTACAGTTATCACCCACAGCTGCAGATGTTGCACATCTGTCCATGTGTTCATGTGTCATGAAGCAGTACATCTCCCTAACAAATGTAGCTGAAACATGCAGAAAGTAACAATCTGAAGGACACTTGCTACAGCGGATTAAATTTAGAAGTCAATACAGTTTAATTTAAGATGGCTGCCACAGATAAATGACTTTGTCAATTTTTAATGAGCTAAAATTTATCATGGTAGTAGCTGAGAGTCACTGTCAACACAAACCTGACATCTCGTAATGTTGTATGTGGTGTGCTTAAAGTTATCTTTAAATTTTGGTGATCTTTGTCCAAAACTCTGAATTCCTTCAAAGAATTAAACAATTTAGCTTTTTAAATAAATCCCAATTTTTTTTTTTTAATTACTCTTTCCTGGGGACAACAAAAATACAATAAAATCCTTATATCAGAACGTCAACTTCAACTAAAATTCAGGATTGGAATAAATGGCAGAGATGTAACAAAACTGATGAACTTCTACCCAGAAATCCAACAATGATTGTGTATTCTTGCACTATACATATATATATATATATATATATATATATATACATTTTTTTTTTTTCTCTCCAATTAAATTTCCTAGTGTTAATTCCTTTTGATTTCATCTGGAAGAGAAAGTTTGTGTCCGCTCTGTTGGCCCCTCCGGTACGTGCAGCAGTGTGTTGTTGGGCTGTGCGGTTGAATCAGAAGCAGCACATACTGTGTTTAGTGAGAGCAGGAGGCCCAGTGGAGCAGAGAGTAGAGACTTTTGTAGCGCAGGTGCTTTGCCTTCTGTGATCAACACATTACGTACTGAACATTTGTTATTCAGTCATATGAAAGACAAAGTCTGCTTCTGTTGCTAGCTAGTTCACCACAAGAATTGCCTTCCTTAAGTCACAACTCCACAGTTAAAATTATGTATGTTACACGTTACATGTTTTTTTACTTAGTTAAAAAAAATTAACCCTCAGCGAAGAGATACAGATAAAGCAAATAATCTAAACAGCGGTGTAGCTCAAAAAGCCCAAATCCAGGCTAAAATTACTGTTAACCAATTAGAGAAATTGCCTTTTCTGCGAAAATGCAGTGTGAATGCGTATTGCTAATGAACGTGCTGAAAAACAGCTGAAGTTAGCAAAAAAACATGCTTAATCGAAGGTGAAAGGGAAGAACAAATCTAAGTTAGCAGATGAAAACAAAAAACATATTTGCTGAATTTGTTTTAAATACGAATAACCAAGCACAAACATTAGTAAATTAGCTCTAAAAGCTGAAGTTAGAAAAAAATAGCTGAAAGGTAGCTGAAAAGGTAGAAATAAGCTTAAATTATCAGAAGGAAGTGCAGAAATCACATAAGTGCCCAATTGGGCTGAAAGAAACAGAAATAAGCACAAAAAGTGGAAATTATCTGAAAAAAACTGAAATGGGCAACAACAACAAAAAAGAAAACAGTTGAAAAGTAGCTAAAAAAGCTGAAAGAAGCTTCAATTACCAGAAGGAAGTTGAGAGAGCAGATTTTTGCTGAATTAGGCTGACAAAAGATAGCAAGTGCAAAAAATTTGGAATTAGCTGAAAAAGCTCAAACAAGCGAAACAGCCAAATTGTAGCTTAAATAGCAGAAAAAACTGAAACTTGTAGAAATAAGCATAACAAGTTGAAATTAGCAGAAATAAGTTAGAAGAAGCACAAAAAATGTTGTAGTTAGCAGAAATAATCTAAAAGGATCACAAACAGCAGAAAATGAGCTGAAAGTAGCTAAAAATAGTTTAAAGTTGCACAAGGAAGCTGAAAGAAGCTGAACCAGAACAAAATGTGAAAAGAGCAAGAAAAGGTAAACAGATCTAAAGATATGAAGGATGTAAAATGAGCTGAATTCATTTCCTATGAGAAAAAAAAACATGGCAGAAAAGGCTAAATATTTCAAAAATGGTACCATAACTTTGGGTCATGGTACCCTTCTCCTGAACAAGCTGAACGTTTTAATATGATTTGTTGAAATAGCTCAAAAATTGTGGAACGAGAAAGATGCCGAAAAACATACGGATGAAAAGTGGATAGTGTGAATGCTTCATAAGCGTTCACACAATTAAACACTTTTAACCCAGTTAACAAGAATTGGCTAATATGCATTAGCTAATGTAGCTAAAGTGAAAAGACTCCAAGGACAAACATTTTGTTTGACTCAAGTTGTGAGTTCATTTCAGCTCAGAAATCTGCAGTAATCTTGTGACAATTGTCATGAATAAATCATTTTAATTTACATTTTTTTTTTGTATTAAAAAAAAATCAAGAGGTAAAAATTAAAACAGGCTAAAGATACGGCAAGTGCTGAGGTGCATATCACATCTGGGTTCCAGCTGAGTTCTTTTACAAAAGTAGAAAAGTGTTAGCTAAGGTTTTGCCAATCTTTCAGCAAAACTTATTTTTGTAACTCAATAATTTAAACTACTTTTAAAATCAACTAGAACTAGATTAAATACAACAGTATAATACTTTGTCCACACAGTAAGTACAGGGTTGCAGAGCAGGTATTGCAACTTTTAAGTCATTTTATCCAAGTACCTATAGTAGTAAATGTTTACCTGTTGTTGTTTTGTCTGGTGCGTAAATTACATTTATTATGAAGCATTAAAATAATACAGCTCACTGTTTATCAAAAAAGCTCTTATTTGCTTGCAGATATCACACTATCTTGTGTTTACTAAATTCAGCTTTGTTACAAGTCTAAATGTCAATGATTTAAATCCTTAAGTAGGTTTTGAGCATCAAGTGTTCTCAGAAGAGTCATAAAGTACAAAACTGTGCACACAATTAAGTCTGCAAAAGCACAGAAGCATAATAAAAATCTGTTATCTTTTAGCAACTTGATGATGATGTCATAATAATAAAAACATAAGAGCCTGTTTATTAATAGGCAAAAGAACATTGTTCATTTAAAACATTGTATTCATGAACTTCTAGAATAATTTATAGAAATATTAGCATCCTTAAAATGACACTCGTAATTTACTGATTGCTAAATATATTTATTTATTTTTATGATAATCTCAGAAAGGTCACCATTGTTATTTAAGCGTATGCTGGAAACTGCAAGAGATACTTGGAGTATTTAAATAGGACACTGAGATGACTTCAAACAAAAAACAAAGCAGGGTTCAATTCTTGGTCAAACGACTCGACATCCGACAGGTTTGCTCACGGCGTCACACTTCCCGTTAGACTTGACAAGATGGCCAGAGCTGAGACGGGCTGGCATCTGGCCGTGCCAAGCCCCGAAGGCTGTCTGAGAAACTGGACCCACGGTTTAATTACACAAACTAAATATAGCAAACTAAGACATGTAAGTCAAGCAGATGGATTTAAAACATGATAGCATCACACAACCAGTCATAATAGTAGCTGCAGCCTCTGGGAAAATGTTTTCGAAGGGATTAAAAATACTGTTGAATTAACTGCAGGTTTCACTTCTCAGGGGGCGGCTATTGTCACTTTACCGATGAGATGACAGATTTAAGAACAGGTGGTATGTGAGTCACACTGTGGATCATTGAACAACAATAAAACGGTAAAAACAGAGTTAACAAAGACAACTCAAGCGCGCACTCCCTGTCCCGCGCACTGTCTGCAGCCGACATCATGGAGGAGAAAAGATGGCGTCCAAAGAGGGCAACAGCTCACAGTCGACAAAACAAGCCCAACTGGATCTGTGTCACAAATTATTTGTAATCCTTTTACAGCAAATGAATAGAATTGATAATCAATGTTAATTTCAGTCAACAATAATATAAAACAGCTAGATGACATATAAAGAAAACATATTGTTTAGAAGTAATCATGATCTAAACTAGATCTGAAGTCAGTCAATAACACACAGAACTCAGAAATTACATATAAAGGGTGATGCATAACATTATTGAAATAATGTATATTTATTTGTTATAATTATTCTGTTCTGTAGTTGACAGTTAGAAAATGATACTTTTAAAGGATGAAACTTGTCTCCATTGATATTGACTAACCATCTTCTCAACAGGTCAAGTTTGTGTAACCTTAAAATAGTAAAATATCTATTATTTTATACTGTGGAGATATTACATAAATTGGACAAAAGATTGTACAATTTAATAATTAGTGCTAAGCTGTAGCATGATTCATTGTCCTGTATAACAATATATGCCACACAAGCTAATATCTACAAGCCAATTCAATCGTTAACAGTTATTACATCAGCTTTAAATGTTTATTTTAATTTTAAACGGTTACATTATTAGCTTCAGTCATGATCGGATCACATTCACATTGAGGATGATCAAATCTGCTGACTTGTGAAATGAGACGTGTTTACCTGTTTCTCTTGGGTTGGAACAACCGTAGCACACAGCTTTGTGGAATTTTTACATTTCTGCATACATTAGATAGCTCGTATGTATTCTGATATTAAACTAATAATATAATTGATCATTTTTACAATCTTCACATAATCAGCTATTACTGTTGGCTATTTTATCAATATCTACAACAATGCTAAGTCTAGACGCTCTCTGGATATGGCCAAACAGTGCATCACGTCACATCAGTGCTCTCTAGTTGTCTTATTTAACTCTATGGATAAAAATGATTTTATTAAAAAAGCAGAGGGTTGGGTTTCTTGGAAGAAATTGGATGGTTTAACTTCACCCCTTCCTGCTGCCTCTAGATTCAGAAAGTTGTGACCCTTTCAGATTATCTCGACTCTGCCCTATACAGTTCGAAACTGAAGAAGTGCTGTCCGTGAATGATCCGGATGGTTTGAACGTCTCTTTACAACCGAGCTGCAGACAG